CTCCTCACCCCCCACCCCCAGCAGCCAGGCTCATCGGACCACAGAAAATGCAGAGGGTTCCTGTGCATGGGTACCCACAGCAGTAAGAGCATGGTCCCAAAAATGCCCTGACAGCCTTATCAACATGGCTGTGTCCTCTGCTTTCTCTTCCATGAAGGTGCCCACCATTCTTCTGTAGTTTAAGGCTTTTGCTCTATGTGAGGGGCTCTGTTAGCCAAAAAACAAACAAAAAAAAATCTGAGCAATCTCTCCTTTCCCCCTTGAGGAAGGGGACTCAGGGCACATTTCTGGTTGGAAAGTGCCACAGCAGGGTGGCCAAGATTAGGTGCTTCTGCTGCTAATGGGGAAGCCCAGAGAGGGGAGCAGTGTCACCCACTCCCAGGCACAGTGACCCTGTCCTGCTGCACACACACCAAGAGCACAGGGGGTGGTGAGCTGGGCATTGTGAGAGCTGCTCAACTCACTCCTGAGTGACATTAGTAAAAAAGTAAAGTATTTGTTGGTTTGTGGCATCACAAATGGGGCATGAAGCACAAAGCTGACTCCTTGCTCTGCAAGAAACATACTTTTACCTCCCTGAGGCTGCAGTTTGCTGTCTCTGCTCAAACAGGCTTCCACCCACCTCACCAGAAGCCACCATGCACTGTCCAAGGAGAGGAAAGCTCTCAGCAAGGAGCCTCCCAGCCATACCCAGGCTGGATTTGCTAGGCAAGAACAAGAGCAGCTAAGATATGCCCCACCACACACACTCCCCTTCCCTCCCCTCTCATGCCGGAAGGATTATGGGGCCAGTGCGGGGAACGTCTTGTCCTGCCAGGGCACAAACCTTCCTCTCCCGGTCTCCAGGAGGCACAAAGCAGCTCTGAGAGGTTGCAAGCAGACAGGCTTTATATGGAGTTCCCACAAACATCATTGCTTTTATTTAAGGCAGAAAACACAGGATGTTACAGATGAGTGGAAAAATGTGATGTGCCCCACTGCCTGCAGTGCCCCTCAGACTGGAGAATGCTCTTCTGGAAGTCAGAGGGTCTCCAGACAGGATTAGGAAAGCACATAGTGTCTGCTCTAACATTTTATTTTTGCCCTGCTTGGCTGCAGCTACACCTCCCTGCACCCCACACACAAACACCCTCTCAGCTAGGGTCCCATACCTTCCCTCCCACTTACAACTTCCCACAGCCCTTTTGTATTTGACTCCTGGGAGGCTCTTTTCAAACTTTTTTGGCAGCTCCGTCTCTTTGAAACACTGGAAAGCTACCAGCGAGAAGCCTGGCTCCGGCTCCCTGCCCCAGTGCTGGCAGCCTCTTGCTCCATCCTCTGCCAGGCTCTGCCCCTCTGCAGGAGCCCAGGGGCAGCCCCAGCCAGCCCTGCCCCTGCCACCCTCACATGGGCTGCTCGGAGTGCTCAGGGCATCAGCAGCTTGCACAGCCACTGCTCTGCAGCACCTGCCAGCACTCACAGCGTGCCACAGTTCCCTGAACACTGACACCTGTTACGGAGCTCCCTTACACAGCTTTGGGGAGCAATCATCAAAAAATATTTTATTTAATGCTTGTTTTCATGATCATGCATGACAAAGGTAGCCAAAGGTACATTTTTTTCCCCCCTAATGTTGCCACATTCTTTTTTCTTCTTCAAACTAAGGAGTTGCCAGCCAACCTAACACAATTATTACGATAAACTGGAGAGATTTCAAACAGGCAGTTTCAGAAAACCAACACTTACAGCTTAACTTCCCACACATTCATTCACTGGTGCTCCTTACCTTACTGGGACTGGAGAGCTAGAAAGCAGCAGAAGACCCCAGAATAAGGCACAAAGCACACCTCTTCAGCCAAATTTGGCTTCATGTGTTTGCACTTAATTTATACCCCATGAAACACCTGGCCGAGAGTACCTTTTAATTGATTGCAATTAAAAATTGTTGATTGGCTTGCCCCTAGCATCAGTGACCACAATTACATGACCTGATCAGATGAGAGGAAGTTACTATTTCTTAACCATATTTTTTTATTTTTCAGCATAGTAAGACAGCTAAGCAGTGTATTAAATGATATACTATTACTTGTATGCTTAAGCACCTGAGTCCTTGATCTTGTGCTTTATAAAGTGCTCTGAGCTGTGCAGTAATTGCCCATAAATATGCTGCTGATCATGCTTAAAGGGACATTGTCAAGGTTGGAAGGCCTACAGTTCAACTTAGTAAAATTACATCTCAAAATAGTTTTATTCTTAGTGTTTCAAAATTACCAACCTGTGGGTTTTATCATGCTTCTTTTTATCAGTCCAGCTCCTAGAAGTAATGAGATTATGGGAGAATGTTCACTTTTAAATCAATGGATCACACATTGGAATAGTATTGATGGAGACTAATGTTCTCATGCTGAACATGCAAATAAAAGCACTTTTCTATAAAACTTATTTTTCCTGATGTGAATATGCATGACCTCTATTGCCCTTATGGTTTGCCATAAGGTCACCCCTTGTTGAACCTATGTCTTGTGAAAGAAATCTTCAAGAAAGAGCACAAGGCTGAGGGCATCAGGCCTGGGCAAGTCTGCAGCTTCACAAAGTGCCCATTTTCCATGGTGTCTCTTTGTCAGTCAGCAGTCTTGTCCTAGCTGAGCTGAAGGGGAGGGCATGCAAAAAGAGGGGGCTGGGGAAAAGAATTACACAGGCTGGTGAGGAGCCTGAAACTTCTCATCCCCAGCAGAGCTGTTGGGAATGCAGAGGGGTGATGGGATGGGGAAAACCCAGGGCTGAGAGCCCTTTCCCGCACAGTCCCTCCCGCCAGTGGCTCTGTGGCTGGAGCCCAGCGCCAGGGGAACTGAAGCCAGCTATTGAGGAGCTTTTTGATCTCAGGCAAAGAGCAGTACTGGACTTTCTCTTAAGGAAAGAATACAAATAGCTGAGGAGTGAAAGGTGGCCTGGGAATTCTCCTTTTATGAAGGGCTTGGTTTATTTCTGAGCTGAATAACTCAGCTCCCTCTGAGCTGCAGTTTTCCAGCACAGTCTGTACTCATGGGAAACCTGCAATGCCACAGTTACCAAATCCATAGATGTCAGTCAATGAAAAAGTATGGCTCAGTGGTGCCAGGGACAAGGCAAGGCAAATGGGGAGAAGCTGTAAGCGAAGGCTGTGCGGATGCTGCCAGGGTGGCTGTGCAGAAAGGCATTTTTGGAAGAGGAGGCATGGCCTGTGCCCCCCTGCATTGTTCAGCTAACCTCTGTGCTGCAAGGTTTGAAGACAAAGCTCTGGAGTTTCCAGAGGCATGGGCCTACAGCCAGGCTTCAGCTCCCTTTCTGCTCAGAAGGTGAAAGATTTGTAGATACCCTAGACGTGAGGCGGAGGTGTGGATGCACTTACGCATCACAGCTGTATGTTGGGCACAGGACAGACCTTGTCTCAACTCTAGGGACTCGAGGGTAGCTCTGGAAAAATTGTGTAAAACTCAGGAAGAACAAAAAAACCCACAAAAACAAAAGAACCCCTCAAAACCCAACACCCTCCCCCACAAAAAAAAAACCCCAAAAAACCAACCAACCAACCAAACAAACAAAACCCCCAAAAAACAAAAAACAACAAACCCCCCCCCCAAAAAAAAAAAAAAAAAAAAAGCCAAAGAAAAAACCAGAAAAGAAATGCCTCTGGGGCCTGGGAAAAAGGCACACCTCCAGCAGCCATGCCTAAACCAGGACCAGGGGCTGGTGAGTGCTCGTGGCTGGTGGCATCACTTGAAGGTGCAGCTCCTCAAAGAATTGGAAAGAGTAAAAATCTTCTTAATTTTTTTTTTTTTCCATTCACAGGAAAGAGAAGAAAGTAAATGAAAATCCTCTGGCTGAAGATACCACAGGACAGAAAAAGGCAAGTTCTAATGTTAATGTAATGACAGATATGGCTCAAAGTTCCAGCAGGGAAGGGTGTTCCCCACACTTCCAGCAAGCATCCAAGAGAGCAGGGCAGCATAGGGACTGTGTCTCTCACTTGGACAAGCCTTGTAAAGTGTGAATATAGATATGGATATGGATATGGATAAGCACTTGAAAAAAGTCTCATGTGTCTAACACCAAAGAGTGCATTTTAGGCTCTTAACAGTTACTGAAACACTTGAAAGTGCAACTTGCATACATTTGAAGAACTCCAGAAAACATAATGAAAGCCAGATGAGCCCAAAGTCTTTCAAAGTACTTTTAAAAAATCTCATGTTTTTAGGCAAAGTTAATATCTCTGGTTTGTTTTGAGCTGACTCAATAATTTTAAATGGTTGTCTTTGAGAATTGTAAGACTGGTTTTATTTTTTTTTTGTTTTTTGTAGGTTTATTCCACAGAAATGCTTAAAAAGCAATAAAGCCAATCTCAATAGCTTTGCTTAAATCCATGACTATATCAGTTCTGTGTTATGGGTACACAGGGAGAAACTAACTGAGTAGGAATTTGTAAAAGACCTGTAACAATAGTTACATTGTTTGCACACATACACACCATAATAATAACAACACAAAAGCAATAGCAACCTTGCAGTTACAAAAATACCAAGTGCCCTTTAAAAATGTACATGTATATTCTGTGTTTACCCAGATTACCAGTGATACTTTATGTATGCTGTATCTTCTGTCTGATTTATTAAAGGTTTTTTTTTTTTTTCTGGGCTTCTTTTCTTCAAAACTGTGCTTGTGCCTTTTGTTTACCAAGAGGAACCTCAGTTCCATGAGTAAACACCTGGAAGCTGAGAACAGGAGTGGGTAAGAAACCTGGATTAATTTAATGACAGTGCCTTATAATGGAAAATATAAATTTTCCTGCTGCAATTGGTATATACATTCAACAGTTTTATTGTATGTCAGTGCACATTATTCGGCACAGCTGCCAGAGAGGCATTGCTGAACTGGTGTTTCTCTTCCATGACAAACACCTATTAAGCAGTCAGCATAAACTCTTCTTGTTACAGCCTCTGACATCACCCTCAGGGCAAGCGGACACAGAACAGCGATTGCTGAATCGCGTATGAAAATTATACTTTTATTGTCTACACAAGTGAAGGTTTAACTCAGATTCCTGTTCGAGTCAGCTCTGTTATAAAGGAGTGATTCTTTCAGGGAACAAACAAGCACAGTACACCATTGTAATCAAAGGAACAGACACTATTTATGTATTGGAAAGCCTTGCTCACAATAGTGCTAACACTCCAATGCCCCAGAAGCCACTATTTTAGCAGCTGTAGAGAAGATAAAGCATGACTAACAAGATGCCATACAGAGTCAGATACAGTTTTTTTTAGAGCACAGATGGAATCATCCCATTTAATATAACTCAGTTTACATGCACGACCAATAAGTGGGAATCATGTATTTAATGTTTATATAAGCATTTTCTCCACCGTAGCGTTCAAAGAGTTGCAGTGTCTCTTGGATGAGAACTCCAATATTTTCACGCTTCTGCTGGCTGTATTCTATCCCATCACCTAAATTAACTGGTCAATAAAAGAAAAAAGAAAAGAAAAAGGGAAGAGTTATCTTGAGTTTTGTCTTACACTTCAAAATAACAACATAGAAAATTGCAATTGCTGGTCAATTGCAATGAAAGTAAATGAAAATGAAAATAATGGAAACACATGAAAATGAAAATAATGAAAATAAACACATTCTTATATAAGATGAATATGGATTCTCTCTTTCACAGTCCATCTCTAAAACCATTACTTCTTTATCTTTAACACTGCTTATTTAAGACAAAATTCTACTGCCAGATGCACTTTTCTAAAAAAAATAATCTAGACTTGTTATGATTTGAAATCTTAAATAGGTATTAGTTTGGCATTGCTCCACATGAACAATATGATGACATTAGTCATCCAGGGAACCTGGATAATAGAGATTTTTGGAGATAACATGGAGTAGAACATCATTCAATTTCAGCTTCCAGAAAAATGTGTAAAATTAAGTCAATGCAAAAGGACAAATTAGTGCAGTCCCCAGACACAGTAACATTTACTGCTGCTTTCTCTAACATGGACTAGCAAGGGTGACAAACACTTCTACACACAGACCATGATTCTTTAAAAATCAGTATGAGCAACAGTGACAACAAAATAAGAACAATAAGAAATAATTTCACCTATAAAGTTGCTGAGAGATTTAAAGAAGGAAAATATTTTTCATTTGGTTTTAAAACAATATTCTGAAAAGTATCTGAAAAAGTGTCTGAATATATATTCCAAGGTGTATAAAAAATAATTTGGAAGGAGCAAAATGTACTCAGACCAGGTTTGGTGTTTTGGGGAGCCGTCACACTGCTGTAGGGTAGTCCTCATGCAGCAGCCAGAGGCCTCACTCTGGGCAGTGGTGACAATGTGCCCGTGTTCACATCTCAGACAATCAATGGCACTCACTCAGCCAGACAAAGACCCATTTGTCAAGACAATGCAACTCCTCCAGCAGAGCTGGCCTTTCACATTTGGAACAGGACAAACACAATGGCAAGGGTAGATTTTGCCCTCACTGTTGCTTCTAGTTCCCCAGGCTGATGCCATCTAGATGTAGAACGGCACCAATCCTCACATCCTCTCCTAAATCTAAGCCTGGATCTGCATTTAAAGCCTGTGGCTTTGTTACCAGCAAAAACTGAAGAACCATGATCTTGAAGAAACAGCTGGTGAACCTGGGCAAAAATCATAATTTTGATGAATTTTTCTGTAAAATATCTGACTTCTTACACACATTTATGTCACTTTACTTTTTTATGAAATGGTTTTGCAAATACTGATGTGACATATGAGGACTGTGATTCTTGAGTGAGAAGGAGGTAATTTATTTTTTTATCATGATTACTTTTAAGCACACAAATATTTTCCAACACATTAACTGTTAATCTCACTGACATGAAGAGCCAGGGTTGTGACATCAAAATTTATTACAATGAATTTATTGTTGTGTTACGAATAACAGATTATGAGAGTGCATAGAAAACACCAAGAATTATTAGAAAAAGGATTGACTTATACAAAAATAGTGCAAAAAGAAAAGCACGTCACAATTGGGTGCAACTTAGAATAAACATGGCTTGCTCTTGCAGAAGGGAACTGAGATCACTGTGCCTCATCACCTGTCTTGCATGTGCAGTGCAAGCCCTCCCCAGAACACCTGGAGGTATTTCTGATTTCACCAGTTTGAGCAAAGGAAATCCTGAACCTTGACCTAAGTCTTGGCAAATATGTAAAGGAATTACTGACTTTCCAACCATATGTCTATTATCTGTAATTTTAAGCCTACACACATGCTCTGCTAATGAGCTTACACAGCTTTCATCGTTCTTTCAAAGAAGTAGTAAAAAAAATCAGCTGTCTGGAAGTAATGGTGATACATTTCTAAGGAAGTCTGGGGGAGGCCAATGAGAAGCCGTGATAATGCCGGTAGCAGAGGTATTTTCCAGAATTGCATGTTACAATCTTCATTATAGAACATGGTCTGTACAAGAAATTATGTTTTAGATGCTTGATTAAAAGGTACCTAAGAATATGAGGCAATAATAAAGGAAAGAGTCTGCAAGAGAAGACTGAATGTGTGATGTGCAGACCGTCATTACAATTTTTTTTTCCTACAGACCATCTGTGTTTTATGAAGGTTTTTATCCTCAAGACAGCCATAATTCACACCAGTGTCGTGACACAAGCTCCAACCAACAATACTGGAAAGGTTATGTCAGCATTGATGTCACCTGGTAAGTACTAAAATGGCTATCCTACGTAGTTATAGGAATTAGCAAAGCTTTCATACAAAAATGATAATCATTAACCCAAGAGGACAACATCCATTAAATGGATGAGTCAGAATTATCTGCCCAATGCACCTAAGCGTAAATATCTATTCTATATCTATATCTAATAAATATCTATCTAATAATAATAATGATGATTAGTTGGAAAAAAATCGCCATTGGAGTATAAGGGTCTCAGCATGCCCTTCTCTGGTTTGACTATATTTCCCAGCTAGTTTGCCTGAGAAGCCAGCTTTGTCAGCCACAAAAATGTTGCATATGTAAAGTGTGAACATGGATCTGGTTCAAACTCTATGAAGTTGTCCTTTGTGAGGAAGAATAAATCAACATGAAAATGCTAGGAAGAACATTTGTCATATCTTTGACTCAAAGTGAAATGTCTGGCAAATTCAGTATGCACCAAGAAATCATTTTCAGAACAAATGTTACTTCTATGTTTAGAAGAAATGCATTGAAGGATTACTGACAGATCTAGAGGATTGCAATCAGGATTCCTGATCCCAGCCCTTCCTGGACCAAAAAGTTAGTTCCCAATCTCCCAAATCACGCACCAAAGGTTTTATGGTGCTTAAAGTGGAGTGAAAGTGTTTGCACCTGTCAGGACCTGTGTTAGCTGATGAAATCAGCCGGCACACCAAGGCCAGGAGCGGCACTCCCTGCCCTGCCAGTGCCAGCTGCTGTAGCCAAGGAAACCCTGCTCAGGCCCTCAGGGACTGAACTCAGCATTTGGCAGGGAACAGAGGAGGATTTGAATTTTGCTATAAAAGGTGGTTTGTATTTGAGTCTAGACATGCTTCTATTCATGATTTGGGATATTAAAGAAATTCTGGTGTTATTTGTATTCCATGTAATTTCATTTTTAAATTTCACTGGGGTAATGCTACAAATATAAAATATTATTGCTTTAAAGAAGGATAAGCAAGTTTCTCTTTATGCACTAAAAGCCTGATATGGCAGTTTTGACATTTTGGAGTGGACAAGAAAGGTAAACCTACCCTTAGAGCTCACTCAGATCTATTCTTAACTCTAGACATTTGTTAGCACCTGAAATTGCCCAAGACATTCCTTTAGTTTATTAGATTTCCTTTCAAGGCAGGCCGAATCTCAAAAGGAGGAGTTTTTAATCTCCTAAATATGTTGCTTGTAAGTATTTCACAGATACAAGAGCTTGCTCCTGGTGGTGATTGTTCCAAAGGTTCTACTTTGCACAAATTAAAGGCAGGGTTTTCATACACCTGTTTTTGCAGGGATGTCATAGATCTTGGGATATTAGATTTTCCACAAATGTTAAATATCTGAGGAATGTTTTGGATCAATATTTAAAAGAAATTTCTAAAGTGACTGTGAAGACAGCCCCATGTTGCCCATTTAGAGGACATTTTAAATCAAATTGTAACTCAAATGTAATTCCTCTATCCTGTACTGATGAAAGTGTTTCTTTACTCATGTTAAGTGTATATTGTCACACTTGTGTATTTCAGCTTGTCTTGGAACAAATGATTCTTAGCAGAAATTTTTGAAGAGCTACTAGTTAACAAAGAGCTCTGGTATAACAGTTTGGAGTGGGCTTTTTTTTTTTTTTTTTTGGTACACAAATCAATAAAACTACTTGGAAAGATAGGCACCATTCCTTCCTTTTGGGTCTTGAAAAACAAAGATACTGAAAGGTAAAGTGACTTCCAAGTCATGAAAGGTATCAGTCACAAACCACAATTCTCAACTTTTATTGTTGACAATGAGAGTACTATTTATGGTAAAATATAACGATGGTAATAATCTATTTTAAGTGGCTCAGTTCACCCTAGTCAAACCAACATGTATTTTCAGCAATTAGAATGACTACAGGAATGCAACATGCTAACCTGAATGTTACTTCAAAACAAAAAATCCCAGCTGCAATGCAATTGAGCCTGCCACATAACAAAATACAGTTAAGCAGTACAAACTAGCATTAAAAATTTTTGAGGGCTTTCTTTCCTTCTAGGAGTCAACACCAATACCAAGAAATAAATGGAAGCCAATTTCAGCTACAGACTGACAAGCATCCATGTCAGGGTTCACATCATGTAAGTTCACTGCTCAGGCACAGTTCAGAGCTTAATTAAGCTTTCAAAGTCTTCTTGTTAGGATAAATTTAATTGTCATAGAATGTGTTGGCTTCCTGACTGGAGTGGGAAATGAAAGCCCTGATGAGTCAGTGTGGGGAGAGAGGAAGGCTCCTTTGCACCACTCCTATCACTGTGACTCAGAATTCTGCTTTGAAATTGTCAGCTCCAGGAAGGATGAGGTAGTTCAGTCTCCCTGTTCATTTAATTGAAAGTCTGTGAAAAGTCACAGGGTAAGAGTCTAAACCCCTCCTGTCTGCCAAGAAACAGTGGGACATTTCCAGTTCCTTTCACTCAGGGCAAGGAAGAGACACCAGGAGGTTATGACTTGTGGTTGTTACTAACCCGGACAGAGAACCCCATGTTCCCTTTTTGAAGGCTCAGAGCAATGTGAACATCAGTTTTAAATGTTCTTTACGATAAGTCTAGATTATGTACACACAAAGTGCAAACTGGCTTCAAGTAGGCTGGTCCCAAAGCTGGAGTGCTGGAAAGAAGATCTTGTAGAGCACTTTATGTTGGAAGGAACCTCTGGAGTCATCTGGTCCAAATGCTCTGCTCTAAGTCAGCCTCATTTCCAAAGTTAGACCAG